TGTAAATCATCTGAAAGCAAAAATAGATGATGATGAGTGGGAAGAAGAAACAGAAGATGAACGGGAAGAAGACAAACCGGAAGAACAAACGGATGACGAACTGAAAGATGACGACGACGATGACGACAACGACAACGATGATGATGATGATGATGATAATAATAATTATATTATTTTGAAAAAAAGAAGAGTTGAAGGTAAGTTAAGTAATTATTGGATTTTTATTTATTCCTTTTTTATTCCGTTTTTGTTCCTTTTTTATTAGAGACCAAAATCAAGCCTCAAAAAGCAAAGGCTAGGTGGAAATATGGAAGGGAAGAGGAAGCTAGAAGAGGAAGAGATGAGAAAACTAGGAGAGGTGGTGATAGTAATAGAAGAGTTATAACTCGTTCCCGAAGAGTATTCAATAAAGGAAAGGGACGCGCAAAATAGGTAAGAAAAATTGCCAGTTTATCTAAATAATGATTTTTCAGCATTTGCTTTTTTTAGGTTAGATTTCTATCAGTTTGGCTCTGACAAATGTCTTCCTACTGCTACTTTATTTTTATTCATTTTATTCTGACTTTTTTTACTTAATATTTTGACTTTTTTTTTGTTCGTTATTCTGACTTTTTTTATTCATTATACCAACTTTATTCCAACTTTTTTATTCATTATTTTATTCCAACTTTTTTTATTTAATATTCCAGCTTTTTTTAACTTACACTTCAATATTCCTCTACCATTAATTTTGACATTCCTCTACCATTAATTCCGACATTCCTTTACCATCAATTCCAACATTTCTCCACTACAATTTCGACATTCCTCTACTATCAATTCCGACATTCCTTTACCATTAATTCCAACATTTCTCCACTATAATTCTGACATTCCTTTACTATCAATTCTGATATTTCTCCACTACAATTCTGACATTCCTTTACCATTAATTCCGACATTTCTTTACCATCAATTCTGATATTTCTCCACTACAATTCTGACATTCCTCTACCATCAATTCTGACATTTCTCCACTACAATTCTGATATTTCTTCAATTATTATAAAAGCAATAGAACATTCAAATGTAAATATATAGAACATTTAGAACAGTAAATATATAGAACATTTA